TAGCCAACCAAAAAAAAAAAAAAAAAAATTATAAATAATATTAGCCCACCCAATCAGACTCAAATCAACTCAGCCACCATACTAAAATAAAGGTCCAAGTCAAATAAGCCTAGGGTCGGCCCTGACCTAAGACGACAAAGACAATCACTTAGGGCCTCAAAATTTATGGACTCATGAATGATGGCGCACCAGAAAAAAAAAAAAAAAAAATTAGAGCAAATTGTTTCAACCAACTAGTCAAATGGTCAAAACTCCAAACACGTTACTATATTAGAATCAAATCAGCCAAACCTGTAACTCCAGAACCAAACCAGCTTTTTGACCACTAAATTTGACCATTTGACTAGTTGGTTGTTTTGCCCGTATATATATATATTAGGGCAAATCATTTCAGCCTCCCCAATCGCCTCAATCTCTATTCTCGTTCTCAACTCTGAACTTGCCCCCTCTCTCTCTCCGCGTAACTACAAACTTCAAAATCAACAAGAATCAGAAGTTCAAAACCCATATATTTTGTTTATCTATCTGTCTGCAAGAATCAAAAGTTCAAAACCTATTACCTATATCAAAACCCATATCGACATATCATTTCAGATTGTTCCAAAAATCAAAACCCATATCTTTCAGTTTCCATCGCCCGTTGCCCCAGTTTGGGTTTGTCGTTCGCAAGCTTCAGCCGCTGGCCCGCTATCTCTCAACTCTCAAGCTTGCCCTCCTCTCTCTTTGCAACTGCTAAATTGTATGTATGGGTCTTGTTTTAATTTTTGAATAAGAAACAAATTAAATCCTTGATTTTAATCTTATCATGAATTGCCCCTAGGAGCATAGCAGCGTTAGTAGGGATTCGGGATGTAAATTCTTGAGGTCTTACTTTCGAACCGCACTTCTGACTTGAATGGTGTGTATTGTGGGGTCGATACATGTGCTCTAAGACCAAAAAAAAACTTGTCATGAATTGTTCAAGGCAAAAATGAACATAACCATAAGAACCAACTTTGTACTGTGTGTTACCTATTATCTTGGTTTACATAAACGGTGAATGGTTCAAAATATCTTGTACATTGGTTAGCAATTAAATCCGAGAGCTATCTACTAGGAAAGATTCAAAAGTCTAAAGTTATCTATCCCAATGTAGTAACTTTCCAACTATATTCTCTCTACTATTTGCATTTAAGTAACCAAATTCCATTAAGGTGCAGAACATTAAGGAGTTTTTAACATTCCACAATGATAAATCTTCCTATTATAATCATCCTTAATGAAACTCAACCTTCATGGTGGCTTGGTGATCGGATTTTACATGCCTAAGACGTGTTGTGAGCACCACTGTATTCTTCCTATTGGGAAGGGTAATCTCATATATGTTTTTTAACGCTGATAAGAAATTCCGTCCGTCCTTTAATGTATCATTTAATAAAAAATATAGTTGATACTATAACATTTTCTCTGCAATGTGATGGGGCTTAAGGGTAAGCCTTGCCATCACCTGACATTACGTGTGTAGTTACTGTACGCGTTTCGCACATAGTCGGGTAGGGCTTTCCTGTCGTACACCCCAGGGGCGTAAAGGTGTGCCACTACATCGTACGGCACATAAGGCCACATCTCGGCTTTCTTCCCCGTTCGATGATGCCTGACACGTTGCAAAACCTTTTTTGGGTCCACGTACCTAATCACCGTAAGCTTGTGCTGCTTTGGCTCCATCGTTGCTTGTGTCACCCCTTTTATGCCTTCCACTGATTTCCTCACCCCTCCCCTTACACCCTTCACAATCAATCTTCACCTTTATCTTTAAAATCCAATCATAACATCACAAAACACTTAAAAACCCATGATATACCCATATAACACAAACACATATATTACGCATATATATATAGGTATATATAATGATAAAATTTCAAAGTTATATAATTGAGCATAATAAAAATTACAACTAATTATTCAGCCCTTTCCACCCTCGTAGCTTCGTCCTGGTCACAAAGATTGATTCAAATGGGATTCTAAAGGATAATAAATTGCTTAAGTGAGTTTACCTTTGTTGGTTTTGTTATTTATTTTTGGGTAATTTACACAAACGTCCTCTATGATTTGCCATAATTATAGGGACCTCCCATCGGGTTTGGAAAATTACTCGGACCTCCCTTAATTTTGAAAATATCCTACACGGACCTCCCTTTTGTTAGAGTCAACGACAGTCAAGGACGAAAATTGATGACGTCATCTACCATTTTTACTAAAATCTCTAAAATGCTTTTATCTATATAATTTTATATTATATTTAAATAATATATATATATATATATATATATATATATATATATATATATATATAAACCAGAATATATATCTCTCCTCACTTTTTCTCTCTAAATTATTCAACCGGCGACAGAGAAAACTTCCAACTATGAGTTTCGGCGAAGGAAGTGATCAGATTCCAATGAAAAAGAAAACTTGAAGTTAGGGTTCGACCCATAAAGAATTTATATGCCCTTTATATCATCAAACTTCAAATCCACCTTTTTATCACTGGGTTTCAAGCTAGGGTACGTAACTGCCTCGACCTATAAAGGATCTGGGTTGATTTTCCCACACCGTCTCTTCTTTTTTGTCATTTTTCCCTCTCTCTCCCTCTATCTTATTCTGTTTTTCCTCTCTCCTGGTTTCGATTCATTGGTGTTCCTTTACTCTCTCCAATTCTCAAATATATTTATGGGTAGTGGTCATCTCGGTTAATATTTAAATTGAGATTGGTTACTAAATCTCTAGCCTGGTATTTATTATTTTATTTTATTTTTCTGTTTGTGTTTAGATTTCTTTATATATGTACCAAACGAGGGATACATCAATTAATTAACCAAGAGCCAAAATTTTAAATTATAATTTTTTTTTTTTGGGATGAGTAAATCATTGTATATAAAGAGATAATAAGGCTTTAAGCCAGGTAGTCAAGCCAACAAAAACTGCATAAACAGACCTCTGTAGATGACAATCAACAATAACAACAACAATCAAAATCAAGGTAGAAGGCTAGAATGAGAGAGAAGAAAGAGAACCAAGAACCGATGATGAATAGGAAGAGGGAATGAACTAGAACCGAAACCATGGTTGGAGAAAGAGAGAAAAAAAAATAGACCGATGAAAAACAAGAATACCAACAACAACTCTCTCTTTCTAAACATCCCTTATTTGAAGCATCAAAGGGAAAGAGAAAGATGGGGAAATAGAGAGAGAAATTATATATATATATATATATATATATATATATATATATATAATATAGTCTTGGGGCGAGGAATTAGAATAGCTGACATGGAGAGAAAAGGAAAGGTATAGAGAGAGAAAATATATAATTAAAGTCTAATCAATAATATATAGAAGGGTAGTTTAATAATTTACTGTAGTAATTGGAGGGTATTTCAGTAATTTTGGCAGCTCCGTTAGTGTATTTGACGGTCCGTCACACATAAGGGAGGTCCGTGTAGGATATTTTCAAAATTAGGAAAAGTCCAAGTAATTTTCCAAACCTGATGGGAGGTCCCTGTAATTATAGCAAACAATATAGGAGGTTTGTATAAATTATCCTTTATTTTTTATATATTTCAACACTGGACACATATAGTTCATTTGTCTCACATGAACAGAATCATTATCAAGAAAAATTTATGAGAATAGCTCCACAAGAAATTTGAATTCCTAAAATGTGCTCATTGGTTTCTCTCCATTCGTTAGATATATTCAATTAAAATGTAGAGCTTTTGAATGTCCATTTCATTCAAATTATTCATCCTCAATAATTACTGAATTCAAAATTAATTATACTGCATACATCTGACCGTTACATTTTTTTATGCAATCCATTAGTGTCAAAAGCAAAATGTAGCATTCGACACTTCAATTAGTGTCGAAAGCATTTTTTTTTCTTCTTAAAATAATATGCATATTTATCGGACTAGGGTTTGATATCTTCATTAACCTTTATTATGCATTTTGACGTACCGAATGGACCCTATGCACATAGCTTCAATTTCACTTGAATTTAAGACTTGTGATATAACTGTTAGGGATTGTAGTTTAGTGGTACTTCTTCACCTTTTAAATTTAAAAATTGACAATTCAAGTTTCGGGACAAAATAAGTGTGTGAATATATTTTTTACCAAGTTTTTTTACGCAAATATAAAAAGGCAATAAGACCTTTTAGGCTATGAGAGTTAGTAAATTAAACGTACCAAAAGTTAGAGTGATCAAACATTTTTTAACTGCTACATTAGCTTATAAGAAAATTTGAACACTTATCCTTTGAAAAAAAAAAAAAAAAAACACAATTTAAAAATACTTCTACTTGCTTTGCTCTAAACATGGAAGACCCTCTTTGGGCTTGGCCAGCTCCAGCCCATTTTTATATTCTCTAATAAATTTGCTTGATCATTTAAAAAATAATAATAATAATAATAATAATAATAATAATAATAATAATTAATTTGAATACTTTAATTTTTTATACATTGATGAATCGAGTTTGATCCGTCGTGTAATTTTTTTGATCGATGGCAAAATTTTAAATGGAGTAAGATTTAATGTAGCAATTTATTTTAGCATTCAAAATGGGCCACAATATGTTTCACTAAACTGTGAAATTGATTTTATCAGTCTTGGACTAAGACTCAATTCACTATTAAGGCCGAGTGGAATAAGTCCAGGGCCGTCCCTGACCAAGGGGACAAAGGCAGTTGCTTAGAGCCTCAAAATTTATAGGCCCATGAATGATGGGCCACCAGAAAAATGGAGAAGAGATGCTGTAAAATTCCTTAACTACTATAAATCCGCATCATACCTAAACAAGCCTTCACGACCGTTGATTAATTTTTAATCCAAAGGCTATCATTCAAAATTTTTTAAAGTGAGTTCGATCCATGTCATACCTAAACAAGCCTCCACAACCGTCGATTAAAATTTATCCAAAGGCCATGAACGATGGGCAACAGAGAAGGAAAATTTTATTTAGGGCAAATCATTTCAGCCTCCCCAATCGCCTCCATCTCTATTCTCCGTCTCAGATCTGAACTTGCCCCCCTCTCTCTATCTGCAACTGCAGACTACAAAATCTACAAGAATAAGTTCAAAACCCATATATTTCAGTTTATCTATCTGTCTGCAAGAATCAAAAGTTCAGAATCTATTACCTATATCAAAACCCATATCTTTCAGTTTCCATCGCCCGCTGCCCCAGTTCGGGTTCGCCGTTTGCAATCATCAGCCGCTGGCCCGCTGTCTCTCAACTCTCAAGCTTGCCCCCCTCTCTCTCTGCAACTGCTAACTTGTATGTATGGGTTTTGTTTTAATTTTTTTTCTTTTCTAAGTCGACTAATCAAGGTCTGTAATTCTTGTTTTGCAAACTAAATCCTATTTGATGAATTTTTTTATATAATATATATTTTTTTACACTATAAAGTAACAAAATTTGCATTGCATTTTGAGGGTTTTTTTTTCCTGTTGTTGTTGTCAATTCTGTCTACAAGAAAATTTGAATCTCGGCATGAAAAAAGAAAAAAAAAAAAGAATCTGAATTGGATTAGAAATCTGCAGAGATTGAATCTGAAACAATTTTCATCAACATGTCAAGCTTTTTGAAGATGGAAATCGTTTCAGAACTATAATAAAAAATAAAAAAAATCACAACAAGAACTTTGACGAGCAAAAGTACTTAATATAGGGTAAAGCTCTAAAGTTACTTCTTGAAAAGTAAAATACTTACAAAAAGCATGCTTTTGAGTGAATTGCATAGTGTTTGAAGGGGCTTGCCATGAAATACTGAGTGGTGAATTGTTCAGAAATAAATTGGTAATTTTTTTTTTTTTTATTAATTACCCAAATAGGATTTTATATGCCTTAATCAGTCAATTGTCTAACGAAACAATGTTAGTTAACTAAAATTGAATTAAACAACAGTTAATTTTGGTTGATATATTTTGATTTAGCCCACCCCATTGAGAAATCCAGTGTAATGCCCGAAGGATATAATATTCAATCTTTCTGCCATATTTTTATTTTCAAATTTTGGTTTTTGATTTTCTTTTGTTATTAGAATGCAGAATATCAGGATATTGATTTGTTAATTTTGAAGATTATTTCTAAACTGATGCATTGTACTTTGTTATTGGATTAATTTAACATAAGAGCTGAGTATAATATGTGCTAATCACATCTCTTTCTACGGAGAGGTGTCCAACATTTTGACTGAAAGCATAGTTGGGTTGGGTTGATACATGATACAAATAGTACTTAGAGGTGGTGTTTTAATTGTTATGAGTGAGAATGTGAAACATTTTCCTCACAACTTGAGTGTTTTCTAATTTTTAGGGTTAGCATGGGGCCTTAACATTTAGGAAGAACAAGGTTCAAGAAACATGCCTCCTCAGTCATCAGGTAACAAATTCTTACTTTTTCTAAAATTTTAATTTGCATTTTTAGCTATTAGTTACGTTTATTTATTCATGTTTTACATACTGATTTTTGTTTTTGTTTTTGTTTCTACATACATATATATAATATTGATATGATGTGATGCTCTAACAATTTATTAATGGGAATTAAAGACTTGGAAGTTTAGTTTTCAATATCAGAATATATATTTTATAAGTTTATTAACATTGTACTACTTTTCCTCTTTTGTCCTAATAATATAGGTGTCTTTTCTGAAAGAAGAGAGTTGAAGGGAATAGGTGGAATAGGGAAAAAGGTATGTTTTTTTTTTGCCTAGCTAATTGAATCATATAAATCCCCTTATCGTTGTAGCAGTGATGTTGGTTTTAAAATGACCAATTATGATAGGAAGTCTCTTTTCAGTTTATCTTAATCAAATGTATATCCATGCAAGAGGATTACGTGATTCTATATGACAATTTTAGATGAAGATGTTAATGTCAACGTTATGAGGATGTTGATGTAAATGTTGACTCTAGTGATAACGACTGATGAAGGAAATTTAGAGTTGAAGACATGCTATTGAGCGTAGTGTCTAATTCTTTTAGTTACAAGAATTTTGGTCACTTCACACACGATTTTTTAGTTCCTGGGTGTGTAATATGAGTCATCTACTTGGGCTCTCTTCTTTTTCATCTCTTTAAACCTTAATTTTATCTGTGAAAAAGAAAAAGAAGACTCTATGCAATTCTAATTTAACTTTATCAGTTTGAGTATTGACAGAGCTTCTGAAATGTTGAAACTGAAATAGCAAAGAAGAGAGAGTCCACCAATAAGAATTACCCAACTTAGGACAAAATAAGCTTTCTGAGCGTCTTGACTAATATTGGCATGGGAGACTTCTATAGATATGGACTTGTAGAGAGAAAAATATATGGTTGGGGGCACAAAAGTGTACGACAACTGTGAACCAACGATAGGGTTGTGAGCTTTTGGCTTGTTTCATGCATTGGATCTAGGAAGTGTGCAACAATGAAATGGAAAGTTCTGATGCACTCAAAGTTACAGACAGAGACAATAATTAATATTATATAGTTATAACTTGTTTTACTAATCTAATATGATATTACGTGTATCATATATATATATATATATATATGTTTGTAACTTTATACTTACGTATATTTTGATTTAGCCCACCCCATTGAGAAATCCTGGATCCGCCCTTGGATACAGAGGTAGAAATGCAAGTTTCTTTAATCTTATATATATCATATATGCGTGTACATAGCATAGTATTGTCAATTGACAACTTATGGAGATGCATGAATTCATATACCGATTTGTTTCATTATCGAGAATCTTCTTTTTTTGGTTTTCTAGTTGTTTATGTTATTAGCATATCTGAATTGTCTTTAAATAGATAAGTTGAATGCATATCTGACTTGTGTTTAATGCATTCCTCAGTAATTACTTGATTCAAAATCAATTCTACTGAATTCCGTTACATTTTTGAAGATTCCACTAGTCTCAAATGCAAAATGTAGCATTCAACACTTCAATTAGTGATGCATATTTACCGGAATAGGGTCCCACATGCTCTCTCTATAGAACCTTGATCCACATGCTCTCAATAACCCTAGTTAAGTTCAATATAACTAGGGTTAAATTGATATGTAAATAACAGACTCTCAGCTTGGAACGTTGGCGCCATTGTTGAGAAACAGAATCAAGCTCTAATCAAATCAAGGGTTCTCTCTATAGAACTCTCTAGAATTACCATTATCCGCATGCTCTCAATAACCCTAGTTAAGTTATATTTGACGAGGGTTAAATAGATTTATAAATAACCGACTCTCAGCTCCTTAACCTCCCAGTGGCGCCATTTTTGACAATAATCAAGCTCCGTAAGCTCTCCAAACTCTCTCTCCCTCTCATGGTGAGTGCTTCTGTTTACAGGTATTTTGGTTTATATATATGGTATTTTCAGAGTTTATTAGGTCTATTCTCATCCTCAAATTCAAATGTTCTCCATATTTTTCTCAGATTCGAATTATCTTAGGTTTTCTAATGAAAATTTTCTCAGATTCGAATTTTCTCCTTGTTTATAATTTCTGAATGTTTGTTTTTAGCTGTGTTTTTGTTATTAGCATCTCTTGAATTGTCTTTAAATAGATAATGAAACATTGATGGATATTTTTGTAGTCGTAAATACAGTTTGAGAAATAAATAATGTACGTTCCTTGTCCAAATCAAGCATACATAGCATATATATATATATACATATATATATATATTTTCAGTACTTGTCCATATCTCTGAATTGTCCTTGATTTACCGAGTTTTGTTATAGGATTTGGTTTCCCCTAATGGTGTTTATATTCCTTATTCTGTCCTGTCCTTGTGGTGTTAGGCTCATTAATTATAAATACAGGTTTAGGACCATTTTTTCTAATCAAATTAGAATTTCTGAATATTAGCATCTCTGAATTCTCCAGTTGATGGATATTTGAAACTCAAGGATGGCATATCTGAATTATACCAATTTGTTTCATATGCATCTCTGAATTGTCCTTGATTTACCAAGTTGATGGAAGTTTCCTTATGTTGATAGGTTTTGTTATAGGATTTGGTTTCCCCTAATGGTGTTTATATTCCTTATTCAGTCCTGTCCTGTCCTTGTGGTGTTAGGCTTATTAATTATAAATACAGGTTTAGGACCATTTTTTATAATCAAATTAGAATTTCTGAATATTAGCATCTCTGAATTTTCCAGTTGATGGATATTTGAAACTCCTGGTGTTTTAAAATATACTTTGACATTTGACAATAAAATCATCTAGCAGTGCTTGTGAATTCTTTTTGGTTTTCTAAATGGTTGCTTTTGTAGTTGATGTTATTAGCATATGTGAATTGTACAAGTTGACTTGTGCTTAATGCATCAACTCTTTTTGTTTAAACAGAAAAAAAAAAAAAAATGGTGGTGAAATGCGCAGTATGTCGACACAAGGGGAAGCAATGCATGGCTGGATCCTCTATATACGAACAATTCTTGTGTGAAACCACTCACGCACAATGTTGTCAAAAATGTCTTCACTGTCGACGTCTTCTCAAGGTGGCTTACCAATGCCGAAATTCCTCCCCGCAGGGATGCCTTGACTCGACAGGCAAGCGAAGTCATCCGGGATTCGGTCAATGCTTGGACAAGCATTGATCGGAATAGAGCTGCAGTTGCAATTCGAGCAACACGAATCCAAGTGCTTGAAGCTATGGTGGAGGAGCGGGATAGAATGTTGGAAGGAGCTTGAAGCTCAATGATTCGGAAGGACAAGGCAATGGCAGCTGTACAAATTGCGATGAAACATAAATTTGCAGAACGTGAAGCAAGTGAGGTTGCAAGGGCTGGAGAAGCCAGCTGGAACATTTGCTACTGAAGCTGCAGCAGTCGCAGTTAACACAGGCTGGAGCTGGAGCTGGAGCTGGAGCTGGAGATGGAGATGGAGCTGGAGATGGAGCTAATCTGTTTTGCAGTCGAAGATATAGTTGTCAAAAAAAATAGGTGGAACACAGGCTGGAGATGGAGCTGGAGCTAATGAGTAGCCTTATGTTTTTGTTTGTTTAGTAAAGCTAGGTATTCCTGTTCTGTTTTGCAGTCTTAGAGAGAAGATATAGTTGTCAAAAAAAATAGGTTGTAAAAAAAAAAGAGAAATTCAATCATTGATATGAGTTTTATTGTTCTTATTCTTTTTATCCCCTTCAGGGTTCCTTTTTTTTCTTCTTGCCTTTATGATTTTGAGGTTTCAACAATTCAAGTGTGTTGATGACCTCTTTCCCCCCAAAAAATAACCGTAAAAGGAAAAAGAACATACAAGTTGAATCAAGTTTCACAGCTTTAATATAGGAGTGTTAAAAACTCTAGTTTCCAATCACAGTAAACATAACACCAACTATATATCTCAGCTAACGGATACAATTTTTCGGTTTAAAGTCGTCAAACAGAGATTAAACTAAAGTAGGCCATGCATCAAAGACTTCTTTTAAAAACATTTCACTTTTGCCTTTGCCTCTCAGACCGTCTCATCAATCTTCTCAGCCTCGGCCTTGATTGAAGTCGGCTCATTTCTCTGCTAAAAGGACTTTCTCCTTTAAAGTTAGACTCTTCTGCTGTAAAGCTAGAATCTCCTCCGGTGAAGCTAGAAACTCCATGTTAAAGCTTTTTAACTTTTCCTCTTTTCTCTCAATGACTTTAATTCGTCTTCTTTACGCCTCCTCCAGGCTGAAATACCATTGAACTGATGCATGGCCTAAAAAATTTCATCCAGCCTCTGATGCAACCATCTAACCTCCAGCTTTACAGTTTCCATATCACAAACATGGATTTGAGCTCTACAGGTGTGATATGTATGAATTCTGTTATCCTGTAATTTCCGGATGATCTCACAGATTATCCCCAGGAGAGATGAATGGGATTTCATACCCACAAGAGAGCAATCCTTAGCAATGTCTCCATGTCTAAAAAATATAGTGTTAAGGAGAGATGCCCATTCTGGCTTCACTCTGTATCCATTAACCGTGACCAAAGCAGAATCAAGAGAAGTTCCAACCTCATGGAGATCAAAAGATTTGTCATCCAACATTTCAGCCGTTTCCGTCAGGTCAAGACTAAAAGTTTGGCCTAGATGCTCTTCCCTTTGATTACAATTACTGGCACTCCCTTCTGGTCTGCTCTCAACTATATTTGAGGCTTCATTAGACTCCCTTACTGGCCTATGGTTGTCAGACACAGCCTCATTGGATGCACAGAGAGCAGCAGCTGGTTGGGCCTGAGCTTCAGGGAAAATCATTTTGGAATATAAACTTTCCAATTCCGCTTCATCATTGCTATGTGATTTTGATACAGAATTGAAGTTTTCTGATTTTTTTCCCCTTCTTTGCCAACCTTGGGGTGCCAATATAATTGGTAATTGCCTATGAGAGGAATGAAAAGCAAACTTAAATTAAGAAAAACAAATAGATTCCTACTGTGGAATGTCAATGTGTGGGCTAGTAACCACTAAGAATTTATATCTTGAATGGAATTGAAATCATGTCAAACACAATTGGAAGATATGTCAAAAGGAAGGGCAGTGCTCTTCTTTATACCTGATTCTGAATGGGGCTTCGCTTTGGATATCTTGAGGTAGAAACCTGAACAAGAATCACCTTTGCATTTTTGAGTTAGTTATCGAGATAGCGGATAGTTTAAAGAGTCCTACTCAAATGATACCAATTCATAAGCTATTATTCGACATCAAATGTATAACTACAAAAGCTTCTATACAACAATGAAGAATTTTAGACTTGTTGAAATTTCATAACCCATTAACAAATAATCAGTATGTAATATCTAAAGAGTCCAGTTATATACGTATGGTTGTAAAGAGCAACAGACATTCACATTTGATGAACCGAAAAAAGTGAATTCCCAATTAACCATGTAGTTCAACAGTTACAAACAATGAGTTGAGCTTCCTGAAAGTAAATGAGTTCCTTCCAATGGTAGTGATTATGGTTCAGCACAATTAGGGTGATTTATACATGTACTCTGGCACATATACAAACACAGAAGACTTAAAATGCTTGGCCTTGGCAATAAATGTCTAATTATATTATTGAACCTAGGAAATTCAGTTTAGTAAGATGATCAAGGATGCGAGCATAGGAAAATTAGAAAATAAACATTAATACTCCACTTTGGTGAATAGAAAATCCTCAGATTTTCCTCTCCGTGCAGGACAACAAAACAAGCAAATTTTTATTTTTATTTTTATTTTTATTTTTTTTATGACATTTCCATTTTTTTTCTCACATTCCTTGAGAATGATAGAAAGGGGATTTCACTTTAATCTAGGAATGCCACTTCATATCAAAGCAAGAGATGGATATAGAGTGTGGGAAAGGTTGGGGATGCCCAGGTTAATGGTTTTGTAAAAGAGCATGGTGAAGAGGAAGGGTCAATCTATTATGCATGTGTTTTTTCATTACCAACAAAACCTGCTGTCCACAATCACCATAACCACCACAACAAACTCCACCGTGAACCATCAACTACATCACTATTGACCCAAATCCTTGCTCACCAAATGACTCAGCAACCAGCATACACAACCATTTACCCTCCACCCCACCCATCACCAATTTTTTTTTTTTGATAAGTCACCCATCACCACTTTTAATTCAAATCGACTGCCACCAGCAAAACCACCATTGTCCACCACTCAACAAATATCACCACCATTCAACCTTATCTCCATTTAACCACCAACACGACCACCGTCAACTTTCCAACTTTTTTACATCTAGATTAATTCTTACCCCACCACTCACACCCTCAACCACCAATATCACCACCAACAAACTCTACTAATATGTCCAAACCACCACCCAAAAAAAACAAAAAAACTTTCATCTCCATCACCAGTTTTCTTCTTCTTCATGACTATAGATAAAAAAATATAGCACTAAAAAATTGACATGCTTCCTGATGTTGCAAAGTTGATTCCTTGACAATCAAATTCCATGGTATTCATTTTGTTCCCAAAGTCTCCAATTTCCTTTATAGCAATATTAATAGCATGAGTAGCAGCAAAAGGTCAAATCAGTTTTCTTTGTGAATCACGCAGTTCTGACGGCCAACATTTGAATTTTGAGTCCTGCACACTCCTGAACTGATTGATTCTTGCACAACCCATTCACAGCACCAAAAGATCCAAAATAGACACTGCAGTATAATTAAGACTTCCTTTGTTTTCTCATTGTGTTTGCAAAGCATGTTTACTAACCAGGTGCATTCCTGGAGCCTGAGGAAGCTATTAGCCATGACCGTCATGCAGTTGGAGCAGCAAAGCTATCCCAACTATTTGGGATCAGCCATTCTGTTCTATCTACGAACATTACTTAAAGCACTTCCTATCACATCTTTACTTGCTAAATCCATCCATGTTAAATTTATTCTACCACTTCCCTTCAAATTACTCTTAATATAGGCAATGTCACTCTTCCTCAGTAGTGCAATAATGGTCTTCATTGCTCATGACAAAGAAAAACTATGTTAACGCTACTGAAGGAGCAGAAAGAGACTATAAAAGAAGATTGTGACATTTAGGGTCTCTTTTTTGTGAGGCAAAGAATTGCCACTACCAGTCGACTTTTGCATAAAACCTCTTCTACCATCAGTGGATCTTTTGGGGGACAAAAGGTTTGTTTAATTGACTTCAAAAGGAACTAAATATTTTATTAGAAAACTAGTTTTCCTGTGGATAAGTATAGCCTTCTGTTTCAGTTCATTCAACAAACTCTCTCATTGTGTCACTGATAAAATAGTGAATTAGGTAGTCCACCAATGGTGGGTTGTGGGTAAGGTCCCAACCTTAAATGGCCATCAATGGTTGCCACCTAATTATTTATTTAGATATTCAATATGAGAGAAGAAGCTTCTGCTTGCTACCATTGAAGACCATTTTTAATAACTTTCAGTAATATGATGGAAATTACATAATTATTTAAACGTTGTTTTATAAAATAAATTTTATATTAAAATAAATAGATATTTACATCTATATTTTAGTTCTAAGGTTCAAACTCTTGCACGATTATATTTGACACTTGGCTCTCCCACCAACCAAGCTCGATGCTCTAAAGTGCTCCCACAGTCCATCAGATGCAAATATTAGACCGATAAAGTGGTTGGAGTTCACTGACAGAAATTGATGGTTCAGAACTCAATAACGGCCTTCTAAAAGGTTCACAAAGGCGAAACTTAGCATACAAAGGCTCCCTGTTAAATTCAGCCTTTTTTTAATAATACATCACCAATAGATCTAGAAACCTGCAAGACCATTAATCCCAAAGAGAAGATACAATTAATATGCCGTGATAAATCATGTCACAAAGTTTAGAAACACATGACCAACTAAATTCTATGAATTGACATTCCTCATCAAGGATATATATATATATTTATATATATATAAAAACATACCAACATGTATATAAATTATTCTTATTGGCCATGCAATATCAAATCAGGTAATGGCAATCAGAGAAACTAAAACTAATCCAAAAAATTTATTCACATTTGGATTAATTGATCTATCCTTGAATATCACAAATTGTAGAGCCAGCATGACAAGAAGATTTTTCTTGGGTAACACAAGAAGGACGTGGCAATATATAAATCGAGATTCCATTTTGAAAAATAGCATGTGACATGAAAAAGATCAAATTTTGTAAGCTTTGCCAATAGAAAATGAAAGGACTCTAAGGCACAAAGACGGTTACTTTTTATATTTCTGGGTAAACCAGGACCATGGGGCACAGTATCTAAAACTTGGGAAGTGGAATTATATACAGACCGCACCCATCATGGAAGCGAGGTTCAGATTCTTATAGAAGTTGATGCATCATAATTCTGTCATATTTTACTCAGCAAAAAATGTAGAAATAATACACCTCAAATATTGTACAATAACCTGGAGAGAATCTTTGAACTAAATACAACATATATTCAAACTTCTCAAGGATGTTATTAAGTTGAAGAAGTAGCATCAGAATGAGGTTGAGAAAAAAGAAAAAAAAAAATTACGTGTTTGAGTTTAGAGAATTAAATATATATTTTTACCAAAGGTGCCAAAAAGGAGGCACAGCTCATATCCACACGTGATGTGAACACAAAGAATTTTTTCTATGAGAAAATAATTCAACAAAAATCTGGAAGACTCAATGGATAAGTACTCCACCCTCCTCGTTACCCAGCTTTAAATATAACAAGACTAGAATATACTAAAGAAGTGTGGGATAGAATAGATAGATAGGTACATAGGAGGAGCAACTCATGAAGATAAAAGGAAGGCACAATAATGATAAGTTGATATGTTACCTTCACCTCTTCTTCATAGATCTTCTTCTCCCAAGCCTCAATGAATGACTCCCTAATTCCAATCCTCTATATTCATCGTAAGAGAAAGATTGCTTTCGAATTCTGTCCACGTTGAAGAACTTTTGGAGCTGGATGCTTGCATGACGAAGATTACAATGGAGTGAACGGACCTCCTCCATGTGACCCCGATTGAATGAGTTTATTTAAGCTCTCTGTTACTAAATGGATCGAGTGCATAATGAATAAATTAATAAGATTGATGTTTCCTTAGCCAGAATGACTGCTGCATTCACTGTCCTAGCTCTATCCCACACATTTGGGGCTGCCAATAAGGTTGAATATATATCATCTACTAAACAAATTGCCAGTTATTATATAACAATAACATGTCATATGTGCAACATAGTTAGTTAATTGCAGACAAGGAGGAGGACTCTCAACTATTTGCAAAACAATTGATATATAGTTAACTTTAGACAAGCACACTGATCAATACATTAGATAAGTTGGAGACTATTACTATTGAAAATCAAGAGGAATCTACAAGAAAAATGAATATCTTTAATTTGGCTTTTGGAGAAAATTAGGTCGAAATGAATATATTTATGAAAGAAAAAAAAAAAAAAAATTAGGTCGAAATGAACTTGGAAACCTCCACTTGCTGCATAAGAATATCGATCTCTATGCCTTGTAGCTAACCTTTTTTTGGATTCTACTTTCTAGGAATTGCAATGGACACATACCCGGCCAATCAATCCCATTTTGTTAGCACATAGCATGACCCCATTGTTTTCTTGATTCTCTTTCTATAGAAACAAACAAATATAGAAATTGAATCCAAGAATCACACATTCAGGGGATAGTATGAAATCAAAAGTGAAATAAAAAACAAAAAGATATAGGTACTCAAATTGGATCAGTAATTGATTTCTAGGTTTCGTCCTAAACCTAATACCTAAATCAATAATAGTACAAACTAAACTCAAAGGTAGGGCATTTGCCCTTTTTATAGGAACTTTTAATATATTACTGATACCTCTTTTGTGGAGGCTTTATTTTTATTATTTTGGTTGGTATTTTATGTCACTTATGTGGTGCTTCCATGCATTTTATTTGGGTTTAAATTTTTGTTGGCTCATCAATAAGAAAAGTTCATTTGGGTTAAAATGCCATTTGTAACACAAATGAAGCTGTGCTAATTCGGCAGAACCCAAGAATAGGTAAAAAATGAGATAGTTGGGGCAATTATGGGAATTTAGCTCACCTTATTAATTTATCTT